TTAGTTGTATTTGGTGACCAAACTAAGTAATGATGTCTATAGGTGATGAGTACGAGAGAGCTCCCACCAACGTCGTGCTCCCAGAAGGTGACGAGCTGGCTCCAACAGAGGGTGTGAGTATAGCCTTCCATGTGGGGACTGCCCTGGGGCGACTCCAACAGAGATCTTTATAGGCCTGCCCTAGGGCAGAGTTTATTTGAATGGAACTGCGGGAGTGGACAGGCCCACCCTGTCTCCTGTTCAATAAAATTTCTACGAGTTGTGGAGCATAACCGGGTGCTATAAGAAAAGATAGGCTTTCAGGTGAGTCGCGTTCCAACTGTTGGTGATGTTCTTTCCCTCTGGTGTTTACAGTCGGTAAGCTCCTTTCCCAACAGCCTTGGTGATCTTGTAGGGCCTTTACCATGTTGGGCCAAATTTGTTGGCTCCCAATTCCCTTGTGTTTTGGAACACTCGACGCAGAACCCAATCGTCGACTTTAAAAATCTTCACTTGGATGTTCTTGTTACAGTGTCAAGCCGTCTTTTGCTGATAGGCGACGTTACGGATGAGGGCTTGGTCTCTTAGTTCATCAACAGTGTAGAGGTTGTGGTGTAGCTGCTTATTATTGGTGTCTGCGTCTGTCCACTATAGTCGAGCCAAAGAGACAGACACCTCTGCTGGGATCATGACTTCTGAGGATAGAAAGAATGATGTTTCGCTTGTGGGGATCGGGCTGCGGTGCAATATGACCATAGCACCCCCAAGAGTTCATCTGCCCATGCTCCCTTAGCCTTTTGGAGTCTTTTCTTCAGGGTTTGAAGGATGGTCTTGTTGGATGATTCGGCTTAACCGTTTGCCTGGGGATATTGTGGTGTGGAAAAGCTTAACTTGATCCCCTACATTTTGTAAAAGTCTTGGAAGTTGGAGCTGATGAATTGGGAGCTATTGTCGATGACTATCTCTTTTGGCAGGCTGAACCGACATATGATGTTCTTCCATACAAAACTTTTTACTTCCTGATCTCTAACTTGGGCAAAGGCTTCCGCTTCTATCCATTTGGTGAAGTAGTCGGTGACCGCGAGCTTATAGACTTTTTGGTCGAATGCAGTGGGGAGTTTACCTACGATGTCCATCCCCCATTTCATGAATGGCCCGGGGGCGATGATGGAACTAAGTTGTTCCAAAGGGAGGTGTGACACCTTTACAAAGCGTTGACAGCTCTCGCACTTCTTAGAGTACTTGGCCGAGTCGAAATGCATCATTGGTCAGTAGTGGCTTGCTATCAATGCTCTGTTGGCGAGGCTGGGTCCCCCGACGTGGTTGCTGCACTCGCCTTCGTGGAGTTTGGCGAGTACATACTTTGCTTCCTCAAGGGTAATGCATTTGAGATATGGTCCTGAGAAAGATCTCTTGAGCAAGCGACCTTCATGGATGGTGAATCGAGCCGTCTTGGCTTTCAACCACCAAGCTTCGTTCTTGTCTAGTGGTAGTTCATCATTCTCCAAGTAATGGAGGATGGGTGTCATCCATGACTTATCTGAATCAACTGGCGAGACCTCAACAATGCTGGTCCCTATGGCTGGTGTTTGGAGATGAACCAATGGGATACTCGTTGGTAGGGATGTTTTCAGAGTCGAGCCAAGGTTTGCTAAGGCATCCGCGTGTGTGTTCTCGGTCCTTGGGATTTGAGCGATGGTGACTTCCTTGAAAGATGATTGGAGCTCTTTGGCTAACTTGAGATACGAGGTCATCTTGACGTCTCGTGCTTGGTAGGAGCCGTGTAGCTGGTTCGCCACCAGTTGCGAATCAGACCTAACTTCCAACTTTTTAATTCCCATTTCTTTGGCGAGGGAGAGGTTGACAATCAATGCTTCATATTCGGCCTCGTTGTTGTTGCTTTGAAGCCACACCGTACGGCTTGTTGCAAAGTATCCCCTTCTAGGGAAGTAAGCACTAGTCCCAAGCTGCTACCATTGATGTTGCTTGATCCATCTACTAAAAGGGTCCACTTTGACAGTGTGTGGTCTGTCAAGCATAGGAGTTATTTCTCCGCCTGAACAGAAGTGCTTAGGTGCGAAATTGGCGATGAAGTCGCCTAGCACTTGGGACTTGATTGCGGTGTGCGGTTGGTAGGAGACATCGAACTCACTTTGCTCTATTGCCTACTAAATGAGTCGACCCAAGAGATCAGGTTTGTGGAGTATCTTCTTGAGAGGGTAAGATGTTGATATGAATTTCTTCAACCTCAATTCATATACTACCCTAAAACAACCACTTTTGACTCAACCTAGGCTAGGTTTTCTTCCAACTCCTTATGACCATTCGGCTATCACACTTCTTACACTTTCATAACCATCAAATAATTAAAAACAACTCCTTATATCAAACTCCAGTCATTCACAAAGTCATTTATGTTCAAATGCACCACAAATGGATTCATACACACCATGCAAAACAAAATCCGGAAAATGAGTTAACTTGAAACTAAAGGATAACAACTTACATATGAGATGACCAAGGAATCAATCAAGCCTAAAGGAAACTCCACCAGCTTGAAAGACACTCCACCACCAAGTTTGGCCGAACTTGGGTAAAGGAAACAAGAGAAAACACTTTCTCAAGACAAATCACTATTCATTCAATATTCAAAAGTCCTTTACAAAATGATCAAGTGGCCTTTATATAGGCTTTACAAAAATTAGGGATTTACCCTAGTAAATATTACATAATGAAAACATTAAAATATTACATTCAAATTAATAAACAAAAGTCCACCACACATGTTAAAAACAAGCCATAACCATTTAATGATCAAGTGGACAACTTTTCCCTAATTTAAGGACCCTTGTCCTTAACAACAATTTTTAGGGTTTTTCCTCCAAAATTTGAATCAAATGACACCCAAAACTTGGGCTTGGGCCAATGAAACTTGCTCCCACTTCTTGTTCACGTTTTTGGTCATAAATTTGGGCTTGAGCCGTGCCTTGAAACCTTAAGACCTCTTGGACAATTTTGTGAACTTCCTTGAGTGCTTGGGATTCTTGGGCCGAATGTTGATCTTCATGTTGTCCTTGAGTCTTCATTGAAATCCCTAGCATTTGTGATGGGCATGATGGGCTAGGATTCTCATCAGATGTCAGGACCATGATCGGGTGGCATTGGAAGTACGGCCTCAGCTTCCGCGTGACAGTGATTAGGGCGAGCGCCAGCTTTTTAAGTTGGTTGTACTACATCTTGGCGTTCAACAGAGACTTATTAGTGTAGTCGACCAGCAACTGTTTTTCCTCCTTCTCTCGGATCAGTACGACAGATATTGCAAATTTTGACACGGCTAAGTAAGTGAAGAGTCATTCCCTTGTTTTCGGTTTAGAGAGTAAAGGAGGCGACATTAAGTACCTCTTCAGGTGGGCAAGTGCTTCTTCACAAGCTGGAGTCCATTCGAACTTCTTTGATTTTCTGAGGGCGATGAAGAAGAGGTGGCACTTTTCCGCTGATTTAGATATAAATAGGCTAAAGCGCGACAACCCTCCTAGTGAGTTGTTGGACGTCTTTGATACAGGTGGGAGATGGAATGTTTAGGACCGCCTTGATCTGATCGGGGTTGGCTTCGATACCTCATTACGTCACCATGTAACCAAGGAATTTTCTTGATGAGACGCCAAATGAGCATTTGGCTGGGTTCATTTTAATGTTGTATTTCTGCAGCACCTCGAAGGCTTTCCTAAGGTGATCGAGGTGTTGTTCAGCGACTAAGGATTTAACCAACATATCATTGATATATACTTCCATTGAGTCTCCAAGGTATTCGACAAACATTTTGTTCACAAGGCGTTGATAAGTAGCGCTGACATTTTTTAGGCCGAACGACATTACCTTGTAGCACTAAGTGCCTTTTTCAGTTATGAAGGCAGTTTTTTCCTGATCATCTGAGTGCATCAGTATCTGGTTGTAACACGAGAAAGCATCTATGAAGCTTAACAGTTCATGTCCAGCAGTGGCATCATCCATCATATTTATTGAGAGAGTAGGAATGAGTCCTTGGGGTAAGCTTTATTCAGGTCAGTGAAGTCGATGCAGACTCTCTACTTCCCATTCTTCTTTTTAACAACAACTATATTGGCCAACCAATCGGGGTATTGAATCTCTCAAACCAAGCCATTGCTTAGCAACTTCTCTATCTCTTCGATGATCACATTATTCCTCTTAGGAGCAAACTTCCTTCCCTTATGTTTCACAAGGGGGTAGTTCGAGTCGATATTTAATTTATGGACAATAGCGTCGGAGTTGATCCCAGTCATATATGTATGGGACCAAGCGAAGCAGTTTTGGTTCTATTTGAGGAAGTCCACCAACTTTTGTCGGATGTTGGCCTTGAGCTGCACCCTAATTTGGTTTTTACGGTTTGGATGGTCGGGGTGCATTTGGATGTCATCCAGCTCTTCCATGGCTGGCTGGTTTGGCTTGGCTCGGCTCCTGCGATCGACGGGACTGTAATTGCACATGGTCCCTCGCTTTGCCTTGAAAGTGTTTTGGTAACAATCCTTGGAAGCCTTTTGCTCAACCCTGATTTCTTTTACTCCCCATTTCATAAGGAACCTAATGGTTTGGTAGAAGGTGGAGGGGATGGATCGCATGCTATAGATCCATGGGCACCCTATTATGACGTTGTATGGAGAAGGTGTGTCCACTATCATGAAGGTAGTTTGGAGGTTGATTCCCTCGGCATAGATTGGCAAAGCTATCTCCCCGAGAATGCATTTTTGCTCCGAACTGAACCCAACAAGGAGTGTTGGGCAGCGGTTGATGTTGGACTCATCGAGGCCCATGACTTTAAATGCATCTAGGAATAGGATATTGGTGGAGGAGCCGGGATCCACTAGGATTCTCTTGACGATTATATTGGCTATCTGAAGGCTGATAACGAGAGCATCGTGATGTTGTTTCATCATCGGTGAACTCTATGGTAAGGTTTGTTGGTTTCTGCCAAGGTTGTTGCGATAGGTGATACACTTTGTTGGCTACGGATCTAGCGTGGCGTTTCGTCGTGAGTAGGTGACTCCATTTACTTCTGACCCGCCAGAGATCATGTTGCACATACCGTCAGTGGGTGGTGCCTTTGGTGGAGGCGTTATTTGGCGATCCTTGTTTGCTATTGTGTTCTTGCCTTTCTCGATCAGAAAGTCTCGAAGGTGGCCCCTTTTTAGTAATTCCATGACTTCCAGACAGAGGGCTATGCATTTGGCAGTGACATGTCTATGATCTTCGTGAAACTCACACCATTTGGTAGTGTCACGCTTAGTCCCAGTATGCTTCAGCTTTGCTAGCCACAGGACTACCTTTCCCATTTCTTTCATCATTGCGACTACCTCTGTCGGCTCGATGTTCAGGTTGTAATCGGGCATCTTGTACCTTTGGGGTTGATCAAGTGCCCTCTCGCTATGCCGAGCCGTGTGATGATCATTGGGGTATCTGTTGCCCCTTGTAGGCCCTCTTTTTACTTGATACAGCTCGGCCGAATGCCATTCTTTTCGTCTCTCCACTTGGCGATGGTGACGATCGGTGGTGGAGTTTTGCTTCGCTTTGTAGACTTCGTCTTCTTCCCACCTTATTTCTACCCAAACGCGGGCCAACACGTCCTCTATTGTATTGCAGTTGAATTTGGTGAGTTCCTCGTATAGCTCACTGTCTGGGATGAGTCTTTTTCTAAAGGCATCTACCGCAGTCTCTTGGTTGCAGTAGGAAATTGACACTTTCTTACGGTTGAAGCACCCTACATATTCTCGAAGTGGCTCATTACGATGTTGACGGATCTTATAAAGGTCGTCAGACAGCTTTTGAGCTTTTTGCTACTGGCAAATTGCTCCACGAAGGTGTCTGTGAGCTGGGCGAATAACGTGATAGAGTTGTTAGGGAGATTGGTATACCATTGAAGTGTTGGTCCCACGAGGCTGGAACCAAAACTCTTGCACATGCATCTTTATGAAGATCATGAGGTATGGCAGCAACGAACATTCTTTGTTTGTAGGAGGCTATGTGGTCATCTGGGTCGGTGGTTGTAGCACCCCACTTGAGGTATGTAACTCATTTATGTTGCATTGCTTAAATCTTTATTGTTTTGCTCTTAATTGAGTTGATATATTGTTAATATTGTTTGGTTGGCCCTTAGTTGAAGTGATGTGTTGGTTTGGTTGAGTGTTTGCCCTGAAATTGGTTAAGACTTGGCGAATTTTAGAATTCCAGTCTTCGCCAAGGCGAAGAAAAGTCTTCGCCGCGGCGACGTATGCCCTAGATTTCTTCGCCGGGGTGAAGAAACTTGCTTCGCCGCAGCAAAGAGCCAGCTAAGATTCTTGTTGAAGTTTCTAGATATTTTTCCCTAAGGGCAAAGTGACCACTCTACCCCTAATTAGCAGGAAAAATGGGGAGTGAAATGTAAAGAAATTTCGTGGAGAATATGTTAGAGTATGGGTGTGAGTGTAAGGAATTAAAGGACAAGAATGGAATTTTCAAGAAAGAGCAAGGGCAAAATGGGAAAGAGTGGTTTTATTATGAGCTAATAAGGGTTAAGACTTAGTAAACCCTTCATTTTCTCTTCTCCACCGCCATTCCCATTCCTTGTTTCCTCTCAACTCTTCATTCAATATTTCAAGGATTTTAGAAAGCTTTTTGAGTAGTTTGGGGTAGAAAGTTAATCTAAAGCATCCTAAGGTAAGGGTTCCTGCTTTAGATGTGAATTTTACCTATAAATGGGTTGAGGTCTTATAGCGTTATTATTTAAAGTTGTAGAGAAAAGACAAGCTACCAAAGGGAAAGAGAAGTGCTAGTGAAGCCACTCCCTCACAAGGTAAGTAAATCCAACCCAAGTTAATATTTAAGCAATCAAATGATTTGATATGTATTTATATACTTATAATTATTAGATTGATTGCTAAGTTTGTAATTGTTGATGAGTTGATGGGTTGATGAATGGTTTTTGAGCCATGAGAAGTAGAATCAAGGTTGGGATAGCCAATGGAAGTTTAGCTGAATTTGAGAAGAAATTGAGTAGAGATTTTTGAAGTGCCTTTCCTTGACAGGTTTAGAATTATTATGGAGGAGTTTTACTCCAATTATGGATGGTCCAAGAAAGAAATAGAACTATAGTTAAAATAGAATTTATTTATGCATGCTTATTGTTTGATGAAATGCTTGAGAGAAGCATATGCATGAATAAAGAACCTTAATTCTTGCAACATGGCATATTAGCATTTCATAAGTGCATTAATGAGCATGAGCTATCCATATGCATTAATTGTGCACTTGAGAAGTAGCTCAAGAAAGAGTAGAGAATTGGAGTGTAAGCTACTCCAAGAGTAAACAGAAAGAGAGAATAAGCACTAGAGAACAAAGAAAGAGTAGTGCTAAAGAAGAGAATAAAGTAGGTTGTGCGATGGAGAATCCGTGAGTGATGAGTAGAATCGTCACGGGTAGTGGGTGCTTTGTGGTCTCCACGTGCCTCCGGTAAGATGAGGTCATGACATTCAAGAGAGAGAGAATATACACTCACGTGACCAAGGGTTCCGAATCCATGCATAACCGAGTCCGATCAACAGAAAATGAGTAAAAGTAATGAGAGTGGGTGCTTTGTGATCTCCCAGCCGTGCCTCCAGTAAGATGGGGTCGTGACATTTGAGTGAGTAGAAGTCACGAAGAGTGAGTTCTTTGTGATCTCCTAGCCGTGCCTCCGGTAAGATGAGACCGTGACATTCATATAAGAAAGAATGAGAAAGAAAAGAGAGAGAAAACAGAAGTCATGAAGAGTGGGATGAATCCCAGCCGTGTCTCCGATCAGATGAGGCTGTGACATTCGAGAGAGTACTGTAAGGAAAGAATTAAGAGAAAGAGTTATGGGGATAGATAAGTAGAGGATTTACTTACTGAGCATTATTTGTGCTCACCCTGTTGTTTTTATGTGTTTTGCAAGATCTAGGTGAGGACGTGGTCGAATGGATGTCGGCAAGCGAAGAGAAATAGTTACACTGTCCACCACGTTTTGATGACTTTTTGTATTTGATACTTTATTTTGTATAAAGAATATGTATATTTAATGAAAGCAAAAAATTTGGGCCCATCTATTTATGTTATCATACATGTATCTTATTATATGTATTTTTGTGAGTCGTTGCAGTGGTTCCATCGTAAAGCTTCATGTTGGGGAAGATGAATTTGCGTGGCATCTCTACGAGTGCTATGACATCCACGAAGGGCGAATCAGTATAACTTTGGGGTTGACTCTTCTTGAGTGGTACGGGTACGCCTGGGATACGTTGGATCATGGCTTCCATCTTGGCTAGCCGCTTGGCCAAAGTTTGTTCCAAAGGAGTAGGCATGGGGTTACATAGGTTGTTCAGGAGTTGGGGAATATGTTCGGATTTATGTGTATGTTGGCGCCGAGGAGGGCTAATTGGTTGATGGCATCGACGTTTGCATGGATTGGATATGTTTGTGGGAGGGTGAGATGGGGGTCTAGTTGTTGTAGCAGGGTAGTTTAGGGGAGTGTTTCGGTGGCCGAATGGATGATGGGTGGGGTATTATCATCTTGGGTCGGCTCGGCCAAGGGCATTATGGTTAGGGTCGAGCGAAATGAGGGACCCATGAGGGTGCCATAATCCGATGTGGAAAATAGCTGTTTGGGGTGAATGGGAAGCCAAGAGGAAGATGCATTATATTGATTCATAGACCAATCTAAAGAGTAAAATTGCGTTACCTTATCTTGAAGGGCTTGGTTCTCGGCATGGATGGTGGCGTTTTGTGCTTCCAAGGCTTGCTATTTGTCGTTGCTCTCCTGTACCAATGTGGTGAGGGCCACGATTTGGGCTGCGATATCAGGTGTTAGGGTTTTGGTTTTGTTGGTCATGATGGCTGGACGGAAGTTAAGGAATGGACTGGGTAGGTCGTTCTGAATCGTATGACTGTCAAGGCCCCATGGTGGGTGCCAAACTGTAGACGGTAAAATCTACGGTCATAAATGCGGGGTCGAATCTAGTGATGCAAGGTCGAATCTATTGATGCAGGCCACTAGCAACCTGATGGACCTGCTAGGAAAACAACGAAGATCGCGGAGGCTTGGGACGGAATAATGTTGTGGTTTGAGAGCGGAAGGCTAGGGCTAAAGAGTGATCCCCTATAAAAGGGTTTGCCTCTATTTATATAGTGAACCTAGAGGGTTAGAATCCCAAGAGGATCCTGAGTCCTATCTTGTGGGGCAATTCTCCTCTAGGAAGAGATATTATCCCTCCCCTTTATCGGATTAGGCTCACCAATTTAAGCAAGAGTCTAGATCTCACCAAAAGAGGAAGCAGAATTGGATTCTGATTCTCTATTTATCGGACTACTGTGGGTTAATGGGTCGGAACCTAGTCAAGCTTAATTTGTGGGGTAGCTCAACTCATAGAGGAGGTAGTTCGCAAAGTAGATTTCAGCGTGGGCCCAACTAGAATTGGGCTAAGGCCTTGGGTCGTAACACGTTTATTTTGTTATTAGGCCTCGTCCGATCCAATATGATTTTTGGCCCATACACTTCCTTGTCACCTTCATTATCCCACTGATGGCTCACCCATCGAACCCCAAAGAAGGGTGCTTCAATCTCTCCCCAACTCCATTTCCTCAATCATTCTTCCCCCTGCGAGTTTTGATTACTTGCCTGAGGACATTCATCTCTTAACTCGGTTCTCGCTCAGCCTAGTTCACTCCCTACCCGCCTTACGGGAGACACTCAAGGTCTTAACTGAGTCAACTAAGCCGATTGCGCTAGTTGCTAATTTCTTTGCCACGGATGCATTGGAAGTGGCTAAAGAATTTGGTATTTTGAGCTTTATTTTCTTTCCTTCAAACTCCATGGTACTGCCTTTCGTCCTTCATTTGCCTGGGCTTCATAAAAAGGTCACTTGGAGTTTAGGGACTTGCCTGTACCCCTCCAACTTCTTGGGTGTGTCCCAATACACGAGCATGATCTCTCAGACCCAGTACAGGACAAGAAAAGTGAGCCATACAAAATCCTTCTTGGTGTAGGTAAACAGTACCACCATTTGGTTGCTGGGATTATGGTTAATAGATTTATGGATTTGGAACCGGGGGCCTTTAAGGCTTTGATGGAGGGTGATCGATCAGGTTTTAGGTCTCCAGTTTATCCAGTTGGATGCTAATTCAGAATGTTTTTATCAATGAGGCTGAAAATGAAAAATCTGGTTGTTTGAAGTGGCTAGATGAGCAGTCAAGTGGGTCAGGGCTATTTGTTTCTTTTGGGAGTGGGGGGACTTTATCACAGGAGTAGTTAAATGAATTGGCCCTAGGACTTGAAATGAGTGGGCAAAGATTTCTCTAGGTTGTTAGGAGCCCACATGAGACAGCTGCTATTAAGAAGAAAGTATGCTGGGTTATTTTGCAAAGATTAGAAGTCAGATGGCTTGAATTTCAATTAAGCAAAATGTAATACACTGTCGTTTTATACAGTGTAACAAACTATAAATATGTTGTTTTCTGTTAAAGACTCTGTTAATAAAAATCAATGAATTCCAAAATATTCATCTTTCTTCTCAGCTCTGTTTTTCGTTTTTCTTGGTCTCTTTAATTTTCTTGATTCTTCATCTCAATACTGAATTTCTACATGGTATCAGAGCCCTAGACAAGCGTCTATGGTTAATCTTAGCTTTGAATCTTCAAGTTTGAATTCACAATCAACCTATATGGATAATGTTAACACCAACTTTACTACCTCAAACACTACACCCTCTTTACCAACGATTTCGGTGAACTTGCTGGAGAAAAACTACTCATTTTGGCATTCGCAGATCCTACCAGCTCTGGTCTCTCATGGAATCGATGATTTTGTTACTGGAGAAAGAATCTGTCCTCCTCCATTTGTGTTCGATAAAGCTGATGAATCTGGGCAAACTATCAAGAAGTCAAACCCTAACTATTCCTCTTGGAAAAAGATCGATCAATTCCTGGTGAGTTGGTTGTATTCTACACTTTCA